CCCCGTCCGTTCGGACGGGGAGGGGCGAATCCAGCCCCTCCCCTGTCACGGCAGAGAGTCGTGACACGATAGAGAGGTGAGCGAACCCGGTATGTGTTCGCTCACCTCCCGATCTACTGAGCCGACCTGTGACAGTCTCATTGTCACAGGTCGGCTAGAACTATGAGGAGGAGTGACAAGCCCCTCCCCCCTCATAGATCTCCTTTAAAACCCCCCAAGAGTCGTATATTTCCTGAAAGCACAGACGGCTGCAAGTTATTATATGATATATGAGCACAAATCTTTATCAAACCCAAAATGTCAGTAAAAATTACACTTTAGATAAAGTTTAGTACACAAAAACAGAATATAAACCCAAATTATTTCTAAAATATAAAAGATGAGGTTGTGCTGAGCAAAGAGATACCCAACGTGCCAAACTCAAAAATTGCGTGATCCCTCGAAACCCACTGGTGAAAAATACCAGTGCCCCAAATTTTCCATAGACGATGTTTTAATGCCCCCCCTCCCCCACACACACACACACTATCATTATAAATTTAAAGTTCTGATATATACCGCAGTGCTGTACAGAGGAGCTTACACTCTAATGTCTCCCCACAGTCACACCAGTCTCTGTACAGAGGAGCTTACACTCTAATGTCCCCTCCCCCACACAGTCACATCAGTCTCTGTACAGAGGAGCTTACACTCTAATGTCCCCTCCCCCCACAGTCACATCAGTCTCTGTACAGCGACAGTCCAGGATGACTTCAAGCTCATTGGACCCCCAGATTTGGCTGCAGTGGGTGGGGTCGGGTCCAGTTTGGGGCTGAGGCAAGCAGAGAATGGTCAGGCAGGCAGTCCGGTTAGGCAACAAGCAGTCAGTAGGCAAGGCAGGAGGTGAGAGTGTAGGCAGGTGACTAGCAGAGTGATCCGGGTCAGCAGAACTGGACCAGACTTCAGTACTCTAGCTCTTCACACACTGGATTGAAGACACAGCAGCAGCCACTTCCAGAGCTGGTGCATAAATACCCCTCCGGATCAGAGGGCATACCCGGCATTGTCTCATGAAGTTTTGGACATTTTGGCCCAGATTCTACCACGATTCAAAGTACTGGCAGGGAGCCTGTGAGTGTCATTCAAAGTACTGGCAGGGAGCCTGTGAGTGCCATTCGAAGTACTGGCAGGAATCCTGTGAGTGCCATTCGAAGTACTGGCAGGAAGCCTGTGAGTGCCATTCGAAGTACTGGCAGGGAGCCTGTGAGTGCCATAAGAGGTACTGGCAGGGAGCCTGTGAGTGCCATAAGAGGTACTGGCAGGGAGCCTGTGAGTGCCATAAGAGGTACTGGCAGGGAGCCTGTGAGTGCCATAAGAGGTACTGGCAGGGAGCCTGTGAGTGCCATAAGAGGTACTGGCAGGGAGCCTGTGAGTGCCATAAGAGGTACTGGCAGGGAGCCTGTGAGTGCCATAAGAGGTACTGGCAGGGAGCCTGTGAGTGCCATAAGAGGTACTGGCAGGGAGCCTGTGAGTGCCATAAGAGGTACTGGCAGGGAGCCTGTGAGTGCCATAAGAGGTACTGGCAGGGAGCCTGTGAGTGCCATAAGAGGTACTGGCAGGGAGCCTGTGAGTGCCATAAGAGGTACTGGCAGGGAGCCTGTGAGTGCCATTCGAAGTACTGGCAGGGAGCCTGTGAGTGTCATTCGAAGTACTGGCAGGGAGCGTGTGAGTGCCATTCGAAGTACTGGCAGGGAGCCTGTGAGTGCCATAAGAGGTAATGGCAGAGAAAATGAATGTGCTGCCAACACACCCTAATGTGGGTAAAGTCATACATGACCCTTTATCTGCTATAATGCAGATGCACTGCCTTGGTCCGCTGGGGTGGCACTCAAAATGAATTGCACCGCAACACAGTAATGCATCTTTCATGTGTTACAGAAATGTATTAGGATCCTTAATATTTGGGAAAACAGTTTCTATTTCTCTAACCCCTTCCCCCCAAATCCCAAGAGTCATAAGTGGGTGGAAGGAACAAACATCCAGCGCTCGTCCCCACAGCCTGTTAGAATGAGGCATCATCCATTGACAGTGAATGGCCCCATTGGCATGCAGCTGGTTGGGCCCCTGAGTCCCGGGTATCCCGGCCAGCCAATGGCAGATTAAGCTCCTGGTTAGCAGCTGTGATATGTATCTGCCGCCTCTGGAATGTGGCAGCATAGTGACAAACCTGCTGCAAGAGCCAAACCGGCTTCATACAGCTTGTTTACCCCTCTAATGTGATCTAAAATGATCCCCGTTCGTGCACCGCGAGGTCACACACCGGGTATGATCACAATGCGGGGGTGAAGACATATGGAGAGTGACAGGACAGCTTCCATCGAGGCCCCTGATAGAGCACAACCTTCACTTCATTGAACCTTATTGTAGAATGATTAGTAATGGACACGACATCGGATCTCCTGAATCTGCCGCTATTATTGTGTATAGAAGAGTAAAACGTCTTACTGCCGGAACCCAAACGATCAAATACGCCGAGGCCACAACATTCCGACCCCCTAATACTGAGGAGGTCCCCCTTCTCCTGACCCCCTAATACTGAGGAGGTCCCCCTTCTCCTGACCCCCCTAATACTGAGAAGGTCCCCCTTCTCCTGACCCCCCTAATACTGAGAAGGTCCCCCTTCTCCTGACCCCCCTAATACTGAGAAGGTCCCCCTTCTCCTGACCCCCCTAATACTGAGAAGGTCCCCCTTCTCCTGACCCCCCTAATACTGAGAAGGTCCCCCTTCTCCTGACCCCCCTAATACTGAGAAGGTCCCCCTTCTCCTGACCCCCCTAATACTGAGAAGGTCCCCCTTCTCCTGACCCCCCTAATACTGAGAAGGTCCCCCTTCTCCTGACCCCCCTAATACTGAGAAGGTCCCCCTTCTCCTGACCCCCCTAATACTGAGAAGGTCCCCCTTCTCCTGACCCCCCTAATACTGAGAAGGTCCCCCTTCTCCTGACCCCCCTAATACTGAGAAGGTCCCCCTTCTCCTGACCCCCCTAATACTGAGAAGGTCCCCCTTCTCCTGACCCCCCTAATACTGAGAAGGTCCCCCTTCTCCTGACCCCCCTAATACTGAGAAGGTCCCCCTTCTCCTGACCCCCCTAATACTGAGAAGGTCCCCCTTCTCCTGACCCCCCTAATACTGAGAAGGTCCCCCTTCTCCTGACCCCCCTAATACTGAGAAGGTCCCCCTTCTCCTGACCCCCCTAATACTGAGAAGGTCCCCCTTCTCCTGACCCCCCTAATACTGAGAAGGTCCCCCTTCTCCTGACCCCCCTAATACTGAGAAGGTCCCCCTTCTCCTGAC